CCATCAATTGTGTTGTAAATCCATGAGACCAACATGGCATTCACAATCCACCATTCTTCATAGTTTTCATCTCCCTCTTCTGGACAAGGGATGGATCCGTCGATGAATCCAATTTTCCGTTTTGCACGGAATGCAATTCTCATTGCACGAGCCCATTCTTCATAATTATCACCGTTTAGTTTGACTTGGGTGATAATTAATCCAGGTGTGTCTGCGTTCTGGAGTTCGTAAGAATTTCCCTTCGTAGGGATCTTCTCTTCCTCATCGAAGAGCTTGCCGACGAGATTTTCTTCTACTTCTGCCATGTCGACGGTCGAGGAGGATAGTTCGGTGGTCGAGGTCGGTGATCCGGCGGAAGACAGGCTTGAACCGGCGGTGGACAGTGATGGACCGTTGTTTGTCTAGATTAGGGTTTCCCTAGGAACTTGGCTCCGATACCATGCAGAAATTAATAAGAGGAAAAATATTCTGTATATTGAATTGTTCTACCAATTACAAGGGGTTTCTCCTTTATTTATAGGAGAGGAAAAAGACCAAAACACTAAAGGAGTTCTACTCCTACATGGAAACAAATCACTAAATATGAACTAGGAAACAAATCAAGAGCAATCCCACTTAGATTGGGATTTGCTTTCCTTCTTGTCTTGTGGTCCAAGGAACACGGCCCAACAAAGGAATAATAGGAACTAGAATTCGTTTGAAATCTTAAATTTCTATTTCAATTTTTGGAATTTCATAATTTCGGCTTGGAAAATTAGCACCAAACTTCCAACGCAACATCCCAAAGTCGTGTGACCTTTAGTGCGAAGGTGAGAAGCCCACTTCTCCTCTTCGTGTTGACTATCCCACCCTCCCTTGACTTGCATGCGCCTTCCTCCCTCTGATCGCTAGCATCTGCTGTCGTGCTAGTTCCTGCCGCCAGCATCTCTCTCAACCAGCCGCTTCTCCCTCCGGTCACGAATGCCAAGGTCAGCATGTACGCATCTAAGGTTTTTTTAACTAACTTTAAGTCTTTACATTTGGAATGAATAATTTTTCTTGTCATTTGGTTATTACGAACATTTGATTTAGTATAAATTGTTCAAAATATTGGATTATGTGTGACATCGTTTGATTTTTGACAATATCTTTTTATTATGTTTGCTACTTTTTTGAATTGAATTGCTTTATGTATTACTTTGAATTATTGATATGTTACTTGAAGTGTTAGTTTTGTGAATCCTTTATTATAAAGGGTGTTGGGTATTGCTACAATAAGTGAATTTCATGATCGCGAATGGGTGTACAATAAGTTTGAAAGTGAGGGTGTAGTTAGTAAATAATAGTGGGACAATGTCATCACATTTATGTTCATTTTTTCGTTCAATCCCAACATTGGTAGTCTAATAACAACATGCATTTTCTGTGTAAGTCATGTAAGGATTTAAAGATACAAAGTAATGCAACCTTAATAGTGCACATTCACCGATTTAGTTTTACTCCAAATAACTATGAGTGGGTTTGTCATGGTGAAAGTGTCCGATTTAAACGACAACGAGTCAAACGTCTGAAAAATACAACACATGTTGCAGAAGCCGTAGGTAGAGACCAATTTGTTGACTTGTTGTATGACGTTGCATGTTCGTTTATGGAAAATTTAAATTCAAAGGAAAAACCAAATCTTGAGGATAGAAAGTTTTTCGACATTTGAAAGCTATTGATAAGGATTTGTGGTGAGGGTGCTTGAAAATGTCACTATTATCGGTAACTGCACGCTTGGTAAGGAATGAATCAGAACTTAATCTATTAGAGAGGTGTTATGATACAATATTTCAGTTATTCAATGATGCTTTTCAAGGATGCAATTTGTGACGGAATTAAGAATCCATCGCAAATTCTATTAGTGAAGACCAAATACGATGCCAGCTTAAACCGCCACAGGGTCTGACGCAGAGACACAGCAACTCCATTGCAAAAAATTATTTTCATAATCTTCTAAAACTCTATCACAGAGGTTGTTGCAACCTACGATAGTGCATAAAAGTTGTCACAAAAATCAAGTTTGCGACATTGATTTTGCGATTGAAAGATTCCTTTGCACGCTTGTCTCAATTCCAATATTTTTCGCAAATTCAGACTGTTCTTGTAGTGTTTGTTTATTATTTGAATTCCTTTTAAAGTTATGATTCCTTTACATGCTTTCTTTTATGCATATGAATCATCATAAATAAAAAAATAATATTTTCTTCAATTAGTGTTTTATTCCTAATATATTATCCAAGCTTCATTACAATTCCATGAATGATGCCTCGATGTTTCTGAAGGACCCCTGATGTCATCCATGATGCAATGTCTATCACATTTTGTCTCCAACGAATGAAAGACTTCCCACGACACTACACCCTCAAAGACTTGAACCCTAGCAAAGGATCACAATGATGAGCACGACGATGACGCGAAGCATCGAGAACACTGCATCTCTCTATATGATTTATCTTTAACCGACAACCAAGGTATGCTTCTGACTCTGGTTGTCTTGAAAGTAAAGAATTATGATGAATGACTGAAATCCTTACACCTTGCCCTATGGGCTCGCAAGAAATGTGGATTCATTCACATGGAATCTTATTATTTCAATGATTAGTGGAGAAATCAGAATCTCTGTTGATGGCATATATGGACACACAACAAAATCGACAATAGTGATAGCACAACAGCCGCTTTTACAATCAATATGGGTCAAGATGATAAGGAGGAAATATGTAGTCACTGTAAATATTTTATCATCTGATTCTTGCTTCTAGTTACATGGGTTCCCTTGATGGTGGCTATCGTAGAGTGACAAAGGACGTGGGGGAGGGGGAGCCCTAGGCGATGAGGAGGTCATGGTGGCAAAAATGGAAATGGTAGAGGCTTTGAGTGGCCTCAGCCATTCCAGCAGTAGTTGTTCTAATGGTGGTGCAAGCCGTGCAAACTAGAGCAGGTAGTGTGACTGATTTTGATAATCTAACTCTAGCCCAATGGGACACAATTCGCATGCTCTGTCTTTAAATCCTCATGTTTGATTATATACATTGGTGTTTTGAATCATATGACTGGTGATTTATCTTTGTAAAAAATATTATGCGTGTTGTTCTCTGGGAAATTGGTTTACCAAATGGAAAAAAGGTTACTTCGGTCTAATAAGGCATTATCACACTAACTAAAAATTGAGTTTGATGAATGTTCTGTTTATTCTTATTGTAAACTCCATTGTAGTTTGATTTTTGTGACTCAAGTGACAAAGGAAAAGACTTGTGAAATAAGGTTCAGCGAAAAATATTATACCTTACAAGATTTAAGGTTGAACACAACAATTGGTGTGGGTGAGCAGGATGGGGGACTCTACTACTTCAAAAGAATGAAGGAAGAAGTAGCAATGAAGGCATATGAGAATAAGTAATTTAGCATGTGGCGTCAGCATTTTAGACATCCCTTGTCCCATATTTTATTTTAAATACCTTTTGCTAATTCAATTAAAGATAGTAGTTTTCGAATGGATGTAAAAAATGTTTACGATCCAAGAAATCTTGTGCTAGTTTTCCCATAAGATTTAATCAATCTACTTCTCTGTTTATATGGTATATATTGATTTGTGGGGCCCTTATATATAAGACTCCCCATCTAAATGGGTCTACAATGTTTTTGACCATTATTGAGAACTATTCTCCATGTCTTTGAGTATATTTGATGAATACAAAGTGAAGGTACCCACAGTATTTTGGGCATATGGTTCTTTGGTGGGGCTATTTGGTAAAAATGTTAATGCGTTTGTAATGACAATAGTACTGAGGTTGAATATCTTAATGGCTACTTTCAAGAGGAGGGGATTCTACAAGAGATTTTATGTGTTGCTACCCCACAATAGAACTAACATGTTGAAAGGAAACATCATCACATCTTGAATGTGACACATACTCTACGATTTCAGGCTAGGCTTCAAATTGAGTTTTGAGGGCATTCTATTAAAACTGGGGCATATATGATAAAACTAGGGTATGCATAAAATTCTATTAAAAAACATTATTTAACTCACATTCACATTTTTGGTGAACACATTAGCAGAGATGATCGAGTTGGATACAAAAACTTTTGCTTGAGTTACACCTACCACTCGGCCGAGCTATGTTGGTCTTCTGTGATAATGTGAGTGCTATTTCATTATCCTGCAATCTTGTTCACCATCAATGTAGAAAACATGTGAAGGTTGACATTGACTTTGTTTGAGATGATGTTGCATTCGAACTTGTCTGAGTTCTTCACGTTCCATCTTTCTCACACTATGTGTAGTTTTTTATGAAGGGACTACCATCTCGAGTCTTCCGCGACTTTAGAGATAATCTTGGCTCCCAATTGATACCTCCCAGAAAGACGAAAGCATCTAAAATATAAGTACTCCATTTGTCCTGAAATGATCTTTCAGAATTAACTTTTCAAATCCTGCATTTTAAGGATAGTTGAAAAACATTACTGTAAATGTCAATTATATTTTATTCTTAAAGAAAGTGAGTGTGGTATGTTAATAAGATTGGTGTGTAGGATGAATGAATATAGAGGAGTAGTTTTCGAACTTGAAACGTAAGAAAAAAGTAATGGGATGATCTTTTCCGAATGGAAAAAGGAGTTTGGGAAGAATTTTCTGAGTCGTACGGAGTAATTATATGTAATTATATATGTACCATGAATATCTAACCTTAATTGTAAACCTTTATTCAAGTGATTCTCTAGAATTATCTAGACTTCTCTTCTCCTTATATTATATTCTCTTTGTACTTTGTAATTGAATTATTTAATATTGAGCTTATTCTTTTTCTGGTAATTATGTGTTAGCTTTATTTAATATTACAGTTCATATTCTAATATATAGAGAATATTTTATTATTAGTTAGATACTATTCACTTTATAAAATGTATTTAGAAAATAAATAGAAATTTATGTGAGAATGTCGATGTAAATAATAGGCTTATGATAGAACTTCTCTACTTTCTATCCTCCATCCTTCCAAAATAACTTTAAAAATTCATATGCGTAAAAATATAGATTGAAAAATGATTTGTGTTTTTTTTTCTTTACTAAGGGTGGGTAACTTACCCATCATACCTTTCTTACTTTACATGTCTCTCTTCCACATTAACGTTACATCAGATTTTTACTAAATTAATGCTTTTCTTACTGTTAGTGGGGTGTACAATCATTTACCAATTTACTACAACATTTTTTCATATAATTTACTTAAAATATGAATAAAATTAATTTTAAAATATACCAATCAAGGTAAAAATTATTTAAAAAATTAGAAAACAAAATAAAATTGCTGTTTGATTAGAATTTTGAAACAGAAAAAAAAAGAAACAAGAAAGAAAGAAACCAAAATATAACACAAATATTTAATTTTTTTAGAGAGTAAAATTACTCCCTCTTTTTTTCTATAACAATTTCTCTTTTGTTTTTAGCTGCAAAATCTTATCCTTTTTTTAAAAAAATAATTAGATTTACAAATGGAAATACAAATAAAAAGTAAAACTTACATATTCCAAACCTACATCAAAAAATTTACAAAACAAGTGATGACAAAATATTTAATATTATCAAATAGTCATTTGAAAACATAAATAATTAAAAGTGTTATCGAGAGCCTAGCTAGAATAGTAAACAAGATGTATTTTAGTAGATAGAGGGAATAGATTTTTAAGATATTAGGTGGTTGAAAATGAGTGTGGAATAAATATATGTTGTGTCTCTATTTATAGTTGTTGGGACTATTTCCCAAAATTGTCCAGCCCAAGTTGTTTTTTTAAGGTGCATGAATTAGCATTTGGAAAGACAAATGTGGTGATTGGAATTATTGCATTTGGGAGGCTTTTCATTTGTCCTAGGTGGCCGTTTGAGTTTTTAATTTAATGTTTTTCTCCTATATTTAAAGCCTTGCATAGGCTTTGGAAAAAGATGGTGGGGCTGGCACGAGCAAGAGAAAAGAAAGAATTTTTTTTTAGCCATGTGTGCTCTTTTATGAGAGAGGTTGTACAACTTTTTTCATACAATATTTTAGGGATTTTTCTTTGTACCAAAATATTGTATGTGGGCCTAGGATTGGTGTTGTGATCCTTGACGATTAAGTTATACTTGCACTATTTTTATAGTGGTGGTTTTACCTCTGTAAAGAGGGTTTTTCCTGTTTCAATAATCTTTGGTCTCATCTCTGTTTTTTTCAGCTTGCGGTTTCTTTGTTCTTCGATCGACTACTAGTTTGTTCCTTTCGTTGCGTTGGAAGTTTTGTGCTAAATTTCCCAACAAAGTGGTATCAGAGCTTTCGGGTTAGGTTCTGGTGGTTCTAGTAGTTTTCGAGGATGTCGAGTTCGGGTTCAGTGTCTCACTTTGCCGTTCCTAAGTTCGATGGAAAGAGTAGCTTCACTCTTTGGCAAAGAAGGATGAAGAATTTCCTTGTGCATTTGGGTTTGTCTAGAGCCCTTAAAGGAGATCAGGCGAAGCCAGAGAAAATGAGTGACAATGATTGGCAGGAGTTGTGCGAGAAGTGTGTCAGTACCATCCGATTGTGCATTGCAGACTCTGTCGTTAATTCTGTTATTGAAGAGGAGTCTCCGGAGACGATATGGGAGAAGTTGGAAAAGCTGTACATGGCGAAAAGCTTGACCAACAAGCTTCTTTTGAAGAGGCGGTTGTATCGGTTGCGGATGGAGGATGAGGACACCTTGGTTGGACACATGAATGTGTTCAATGGTTTAATAGACGAGTTGAAACGGGTTGATGTTAAAATCAGTGAGGAGGATCAGGCATTGCTTCTCCTTAATTCTCTCCCGGATTCCTATGAGGTTTATGTGGATACTATATTGTGCGGGAAGGACATGATTACCTTGGAGCAGGCACAATCAGCATTATTGTCATTTGATGCAAGGAGGAAAGACAAAGCTGGGGTACGAAGTGACGATGCAGTCGCGGCGATTGCTCATGGTGGTGGGAGAGGTCGTTCGTCTATTAGGGACTACAAATCAAAGCACAGAAGGTCCAAGTCCCAGAATGCACCTAAGAACGAGGTGCGTTGTTACAAGTGTGGCGAGCTCGGGCATATTAGGAGGGATTGTCCTAAGAAGCATGAGGGGAAAAATGATGCCAACTTGGTTTGAGATGGAGAGACTGGTAGTAGTTCTCTCGGAAATGAAAGTGGTGAGTTGTTCATGATCGCTAACGGTTATGATGAAGCTTCCGACAATGATTGGGTGCTTGATTCTGCATGTGTGAGTCACATGTGCTCAAGGAAAGAACATTTTAAGACACTTCAGGAAGGCATGACTAAGATTTTGAGGTTAGCGGATAACTCGATGGTGGCGGTCATGGGTGTTGGAGTGGTGAAAATGAAAATGTTCGATGGGGTGGTGAGGACTTTTGGTAATGTGGCGTATGTTCCCAAGTTGCGGCGGAATCTCATCTCACTTAGTCAATTGGACTCCGAGGGGTACGAGTACAAGGCTCGCGGGGGAGTGGTTAGAGTGACTAAGGGTAGCACAGTTGTGATTAAGGGGGAGCTAGATCACGGTTTGTATCGTATGGTGGGTCATACGGCTAAAAGCGGCTTAGATCATAAAAGTAGTCGTCGTGTCTCGTTCGTGGATGAGGCGACAATGGTTCATGGCTTCTAGGTTCTTGCCGAACACACTTGGGCTCGACGGGGAGATTGTTGGGACTATTTCCCAAAATTGTCCAGCCCAAGTTGTTTTTTAAGGTGCATGATTTAGCATTTGGAAAGACAAATGTGGTGATTGGAATTATTGCATTTGGGATGCTTTTCATTTGTCTTAGGTGGCCGTTTGAGTTTTTAATTTAATGTTTTTCTCCTATATTTAAAGCCTTGCATAGGCTTTGGAAAAAGATGGTGGGGCTGGCACGAGCAAGAGAAAAGAAAGAAAAAAATTCTAGCCATGTGTGCTCTTTTATAAAAGAGGTTGTACAACTTGTTTTTTCATACAATATTTTAGGGGTTTTTCTTTGTACCAAAATATTGTATGTGGGTCTAGGATTAGTGTTGTAATCCTTGACGATTAAGTTGTACTTGCACTATTTTTATAGTGGTGGTTTTACCTCTGTAAAGAGGGTTTTTCCAGTTTCAATAATCTTTGGTCTCATCTCTGATTTTTTCGACTTGCGGTTTCTTTGTTCTTCGATCGACTATTAGTTAGTTCCTTTCGTTGCGTGGGAAGTTTTGTGCTAAATTTCCCAACAATAGTTGTAGTAATATATACTTCCTCTATCCTAGAAAACTTTTCTGTTATTTACCCTTAAAGAATTTAAGGAGAGTGTATTTAGGTGTTGACCTTCCAAAAATGCCCTTGGATATGATGGATAAAAGTAAGATATGATGGATAGATTAATAAGTGAAAGATTATGATGTGATAGGTAGGTTAAGAATTAGTATGAGTAAAAGTGACTTTTTAATAGAAATGTGAAAAGTTTTTCGAGACGGATGAAAAAAGAAAAAAGAACTGTTTTAATTTGTGTATAAAGGGAGTATTAGTTAAAAGTAGTTTTTTAAACTTTTTAATGTGTAGTATTAGTCATATTTATGGATAAAGAGTAGAGAGAGCGATGCGGTATGCTCGGTAAACCTATAAACTTGCGAATTTTGTTTGGTATCAAAAGGGAGAGGGTCGTGTAACACTCTACACCTAATTGCCACATTGGCATATTTTAATACGAAATTCTATTTCCCGCATTCATACAATATACCCTAACATGCCTAATGGTCCGTTTGGGTGATGAGAAAAAGGGAGGGAAAAAAATTGAAATTGAGAACTTGTTTGGTTTTAGGAGAAAATGAGTTGGAAGAGAAATAAGAATGTGGGTCCCACTTAGAGTCTGTTCTTTAGGGTTGGAAAAAAAGAACTGGTTGTTGGAAGAAACTAGAAGAAACTGGAAAAAATTTAAAAAATTTGAAAAAACTAGAAAAAATTAGAAAATCTAAAAAAACTTTTAAATTTTTTTGTGTGTTTTTAGATTATTTTCATTCTTATTCTTGTTGTTATAAATTATTATTATTATTATTATTATTATTATTATCGTTGTTGTTGGTGGTGGTGGTGTCATCACGTTATCTTAATCAATGTCTTTAAGATAATTTTTTTTTTCATACAAAAAAACTACGTTTGAAAAAAAATAATTAGAATATAAAATTAGCATAAATATCGAAATGTTAAATACTTAAAAAGTTATTATGGCTATGTAGTATTTATCACAAAATAATATATTTGCAATTATCTTTTATATATTACAAGATTTTGTTTTAAATATCATACATATCACATAATGTAATTAAACCTATTTTTTCTTTAATGATTGACATTTTATTTTCATTATAACCCTACTTCTGGTGATATTATTTGTTATCTGAATTTCGTTTTTATACTTTTTGGGTCGTTTTTTCTTTTTCAAAATGTAGTTCTCTCTTGATTTTCATAATATAGTACTCCCCACCTCCATTGCATTTTTATATCTTAGATTAAAATATTGATGTTTACCTTACATAAATTTAGATTAAAAAACATTCTATGTAACTATTTTATCCATAATTTTTTAAATAGTTTAAAATATTGATGTTTTCCTATTCTATCATGTAGATTAATATACAAAAATATGGTATTATTCATATTAAAAAGTTGTAGAAAAAATAATAATGAGTGTGAATTATAAAAATAGCGAGATGAAAATAATAATAATAATAATAACAATAATAAAAATAATAGTAATAATAATAATATTAATAATAATAATATATTGTTTTTAGAGTGATTTTTCACGAAGTAGAAAGAGTTTGAAGAAAATAAAATTAAAATAGTTGGAAGAAACTAAAAGGAATTGGAAGAAACTCGAATGAATTGGAAAAAACTCGAAGGAACTGGAAAAACTGTAAGAAACTAAAAATAGCTAGAACGAAATAGATGAAATTGGGTGTTAACATTCAAGCTCTAAAGAATATGCTCTTAAAAGATTTTATCACCCACTTTGGTGAGAGAAACCGTACAAAGCCAACTCCCTTATCATTTTCATCATTTTCTTCCACCTTTTATTTTACTTTTCATCTCACAACTTTCTTATCATTTCCTATGAATCCAATTAATACTTTTTTCACTTCTTTTTCTCATCATTTTCTTTCCTCTTGTTTTCTTTCCTATAATTTTCTTTCCTAGCATTTCCTCTCCTCATCCAAACAAACCATAAATGTGAATTTTAAATATGAATTTTAAACGGACCCTTTCCATAAGCATTCATTGATAGTAGATCGTGCTTAATTAATCTTTTTGCTAAATGTCCCTCTTTGATAAAATAGTGATTACGGAAGAACGATAAATGTCTTCCAAATTTAGGAAATAAAAAGTTGAACTTTCTGTATCATATTTCTCAAATGATAATAGTCTACTTTTATAACTTTTGTTAACTACTACGATTATGGAAAATTCTATCCTCAGTTTAATGTTGACCATTTGGTATTTCATTATTTTTACGTCGTTCATCTACTTTTTTTAGGTGCATGGGGAAGATCTAATGGTCTAGATCTTTGTTCTAGCTAGTCTTCTTTATTTCGAAATTTGTAAAGTAATTAATTTTTTATATATACATATCAAAATTTAGAAGCTTACAAAAGTAAGAGGATAATAATAAGGTCATGTGTTATCATGGCGTTAGGAGGGTGTCACTACGGGCGGACCCAAAACATTTGAACCATGTGGTCGCAATTTAGAAAATTTATATCCAACCAACACGCTTTTAACAATACATAAACAGTATTCCATAATACATAACATTAAAGTTTAAATATATTATTGAAAAATACTAATTAAAAATAGTTCTACATTGCAAGTGTGAAATACATCTTACAATTGATAACGTTTAGTTTTCATATTTCGAAAGTGATCTATTATTTGCGTTCAAATTTGATGGATTCTCACTCGATTTTTTCTTTTTAAATCTTGGTGCCTTTTTAAAATACATTTGCATCCTATGTTGAAATTCAAATAATTCAAAACATTATAAACTTAAAACATAACCTAATTATATTAACATATTCACAACTCACATAACCTAATTCAATTCCCTATTCTGCTATTCACAATAACAAATTTATAACAATAAATTAAAATTTTCACAATTTACAAATAAAAAAAGAAATATCCAATTTAGATAATTAGATTCAATTATGTATGAGAAGAAATCTGGCAAAGTAGCAATGGAAGATGAAGATCTGATCGAGTAATTGGGAGTGGCATATTGTCGTCACTCGCCGGATCCTGGCGGCGACAGAGTCCAGCCGGTCCAGAGAAGGTTGAGAATTGCAATTTCGTTTGGGAAGTGGGCCGAAGTTTTTTAGGTTTAAGACAAAACCGGAAAAAAAAAAGAAAGAAAGACGACACCATTTTAAAAATACATCTTCCTAAAAATAATATTGTAATTAACTATACTTTCGGCTAGTTCGAACCCACGACCGCACGCCCAATTGCAAACAATGGAGTTTTCCACTCAAGCATATACAAGTAGAATCTTAGGGCGTTTTGTATAATATATACTAAATACAGGTATACATTAAAAAAATTATATATATACACACATATATACTAAAAAAATTTATAATTTCCGTGGGGTCGCTTGATCTCGTGTGACCCAACATGGGTCCACCCCTGGGCGTCACTACCTCCTTAACGCCTAATTCAACGCGCCAGCACTTCATTGGAGAGGCATGGCCCCTTCTAGCGTGATGGCAATCTCAGTATGGCCTCTTTTTTTTATATATATTTCAACCAATCAACAAAATCCACTTTTCACCTCATCATTTTTTTGTCACGGCTTAAATCAAGCATCATAATGCACATGCTTTTATCACTTTACATCTTATCTCTTTACACTCTATCAAACTTCGTCAAGTTTCCCGCCAACCCCGCCATAACACATGGTCTAATCATTACGGATTTTATGACAAAAATTAACTTATATATATATATATATACACACACACACACATACACACATATATATATGATTGACTTTAGTGAGATGACACCTTATGGTGCGAAGACATGCTACGGTCAGATGACACAAAGCTCACCACACTACACTGCAAAGCTCACCAATGGACAATGCAAAACTCACCTGGAAATAAAGCAAAGCTCACCACTTTGAACCCCAAAACTCACCTTTTTTTTAATTTTGAAAATTAAAAAATTAATTAAAAATAAAATAGCAACACCGGTCAACCATCGGTCAACGGCGGCGGCAGGAGGCGGAGCAGCGGCAGTGACCGGCGGCGGTCAATGCTGGAGTCAACGGTCAAAGTCTAGTCAGCACCCCTTCCTTTGATTTTATTTTTTCAAAAAAAATTCAAAGTGTTG